AAAGTGCCCTCGCCCTCAGATCACTTGGAGGTGGCTGTGGTTGCAAGAGGTAAAATCTATATAAATACTGTTCGTTTTCTCACACAAACCGCTCGTTTCGTGTCTTAGGCCATCAATGTGTGCTTACATTCACGAGTCATTGAATCATGTTTAATTTGAGGTGAACCCCATAGACCTCCAATATATGACTGACAGATAGAATTGAAAATTTAAAATTGAAAATACTGTGTAAACAAAGTCACCTACGTCTTGGATGCCCTTGAGGTAAGCTAAAAAATATAAACAAAACAAAAAAGCTAAACAAAAATTAATTTCAAAGTGAACTATGCCTATAATATCATCTTGCCTTATAGTCACATTTAGAAGATTAGAGCTGGGCGATAACAGTTCAAATGTTGTGACAATGCAAGCAATCAAGCTGTTTAAATATGCTATATAGTTAGTATAGTATAACAATATAAACAATGACTACGTTTACATGCAGCCAATTTTCGGGTTATGGTCGGGTTAAGGTCATTATTCGGGTTTCTGAAACATTAGGAATAACCCGTTTACATGCGTGAGCAGAGAGAGTTTCTCCTGTATACATGGAATTGCAATATCCCGATGTAAACGGCGACGCGCAGTTAGCGTCTAGAACGCACGGACAACCTTAAGACGCAATATGCGTAATTGCCGATTCTTCTTCCTGTATCCAAAGATAACAACAACAGCAGCACGCGGATGATGAATAGTTCGGGGCAGGTAGCGATTGCCTTTATTTGCGCTTTGATGCTGGTAACGATGTGTCTCGCCATGTTTACTTCCGGTATACTGCACGCGGATTTTTGTATGCGGCGAGAAGTTTCTCTACTCAAAAGACCAAGATTTCTTGCGAATAGAACATGCGCAGAACACAAATCACTATGGGGATATGCCGATACGCATTTACATGACCAAAAATTCGGGTTCGAAAAGGGGTACCCCAGGTATAATATCTCAGTTTTTAAAATCCAGGATATGAGCATATTCGGGTTTTTTTCCGGTGTTTACATGGCCGTTCGCAACCGGGTTATTGCTAATATCCCGGTTTTGAACGAGTTATTGGCTGCATGTAAACGTAGTCATAGACATAGCTGAGATTGTATATACACCTTAATGCTTGTATACTGTCTATATGCAGGCAAAGTAGGACATACTGGTGAAAATGTTACATTCTTTCAAGGATATAATAATCAAGTTGAGATTTGCAATATGGTATGCTGTTTATACTTGATGAATTCTGTGAGGTTTTGTTACATTTTTATCAATTTGGTATAGTGACAAGCCTTAGTACATAATATCTTTTATCAAATCTAGCAAAACAACTCGAAGAAAGCCAACAATTTTGAGGTACTTGGGTTCATCGCGAAAAAGTTATGTAACAGGAGCACATCATTTTCCCCTATGACACATGTCAGTGCTAGAAAACAAACTGTGCTTGTCCCGTGGTAGGACTCTGAATTCTAGGCTTTCCTCTCAAATCCTCAACCTCATGCTGGTGGCCTTTGTTCTGCTCCACTTGGTAAAAATAAGGTGTTCCAAGCACATTATTTGCGAGACTGGTACCACAGTGGAGCACACCTCTCACACAGTGTTTCACAGTGTTTTCAAAACCCCTGGGGAAAGATGGACCTTTCAGATTGAATGTGACAATGCGTCTAGGAAGAAATCCAGCACTGTTAAATAAGAGCACATTCCCTTCTCCCTTCTACAAAGAGTCTCTTTTTGAGGAGAGCTTTATTAAAGCCACCCAGATGCAGTTGAAGGATCGTCATATAATACCCTCCTCATTTAAAACTCATCAAGTTGAGGGACTAACAAACATAAGTTCTGCAAGTCATTGGCCAACTTCTGTTGGTATATTTGGCCTCTTGCACCAGCCCAGAGATTAGTAAACAGTTTAGGGTGGAACTACTACCCATATGTGTTTGTGAGGCAACATCCTTTTAAAGTCGTGTGAAAGTAACTAATGTTAGTTTCCAAATCCTCTTTCTATAGGTGGAGTGTGGTAAGCTTATCACATCCCACACCCTTAGAAATCTGTAAAAACAAGAGCAATAGTGGTTTACCTCAAATAAACAGAACATCTGGTCATGTGATTACAAAATGCTCTATCATAAGAGACATTTTGTTTGACATTTTGTACATGTTAATGGGAAGGTGTTGTCGTAGATTATACTCGGAGACAAATTAAATTAATCAGTCGCAAACTTATCACGGTTTTCTGCTTCTCCGAAACAGAGAGACCATTTAGAAGATTCAATTTTAAGATTGACCAGTTAATATTAAATCATGAGAGACTTTATGGATGAAAATTATTTGGGTCAAACTGGCTTGGGTAAATACTGAGATAAAACATCCAAAGCAATTTCAGAGAACTTGAAAAGATTCGATTTAGTCTGACTGTATACATTAAGTCTGTCTGCAACAAAAGGTCATAAGTTTGTGCATACACAGACATAATACTTGCAAGACATGTTGTCGCATCACAGAAAGTCTGAATATGTGGTTTGTACAATGGGATTTTTGTACATATCTGTGGTTATGACTTATATGCAACCCAAGTTGAACAATGGGTCATACCGGTTATGTGTTTGCCTTTCATGTCTGAAGAGGATTGACCATACGGCTAGCACTACTCTTTACAACGATTCTTGTATTCCACTGTAATTTCCTCAAATGTGTTTTTGACGTCTTATAAGTCTGACCTATAGCAATTATATTATCTAATTCTAAATGATATCATGAAAAATTATCATGTATATTAAATATAAGTAAGGGTCCCACTTTATATTACAGTAAGTGGCTTTAAGTACTACATACTTACATTGAAATGAATAATTTGATACAACGGACTTATTGTGTACTTACATGTTTTTACATTGTACTTATATTTTAAAAATACCAGCATGTAATTACAGATATAATTACTTTATGTAATTACATTTGTAATTACACAGTTGACCCTCCCCTCACACCTTAACCTTAACCTCACACCTGTCCCTAACCTTACCCGTATCACACCTCAATAGCAGCAAAAGTGTTTTACAATACAAGATGAACACAATAATACATTGTACTTATTGTTCAATGTAAGTACATACAGTAGTACGTAAAGCCAGAAGTGGGACCTAAGTAAGTTATATAACTCTTGCATGTATTTATTTGGACTCTCTAATGTAATTCAATGGAAAATTTGGTAGCTGGACACCAGTCAGTGCGTTCCATAAAAGTAGTAAACACTTTGCGCTGGTAATGACTTTGTCTATGTATACTGTCAATTTTGTTCTAAAGGATCTAAAAAAAATTCCAGAAGTAAACATCTCTCATTTGCTTCTGTCTCTACAGGATGCACCTGGGAGCGAGAGGCTGTTTGTACAAAGTGAGAATGAGGTAACACCGTTTACACTGCGGATCACACTCAATAATTTTCCACAACAGGGTATTATGATCAGAGGCTTAGGAAATAATGTCACTCCTCTGAAATATGGCACAAACAGCCTACTCTGAGCCTATATTTACATACAGAACAAACAAGTAAATGTATCAGTGCACCGTAACTCGCTCGCATGCAAACCCGGCCACACTTCACCAGGCCTTGACATAGAAAAACGCCCACTACGCCAAACTGAAACAGATGTTTGGGAGTTGCATAACAGTAGAGGTCTTGCAGCTGTTTTGGGAAGCAGAACAAATGCCAGATAACCAGTGAATCCACTTTGAGTCTGAACATTGAACCATTGAACACTGTCCATGGTTGTTTACTTTAATCCAAAAATACCATGAACAAAAACTTAATGCATTTATTATGCTTGGTAATGCACCCTATAATGCATTGCATGGTCTCGTGAATAATTGTAACCAGTTATAATACATTAAAATACTTAATGCATAATGCATTGAAACACATGACTATTTATTCATGCGTTTATTTTTATTGAATGGTTTATCTATTCTGTTTGGAATAAGCTGGCTGCACGGTTTTAAATTGTAAGCCTTTTACCATATAAATGTTCAGTACAATTAAGTTGATTTTAGTTTGCTATATAGCTTGATGTTAATAACGGCAATAAAAAATGAAGGAAACCTCAGATCAGAGTACATTTGGATTCTGATATTTCCAGAAGTGATTTCCTTTTAAACCTCCACCCATCTGCAATAAGACCCAGTGGACATGACCCTGCATAGTCTTTCGAATATACTTTATTACTGCCTACCTTCCAGAATGCTGAGATGTGGGTCATACATAGAAGTCTTACATAAGGGAGAGGATTGAGTTACACTGAGCGTGGCCTTCCTAAAGAGAGAAACATGAGGATTCCACACGCCATGGTCTGTTTTCTCACCGTGCTTGGCCCCAAAGCCTTGTGGACCACTACAGCACAGCAGCCAATGTGCACTTAGCTCTAGATCTGTGTATGTACATAGCCATCTGCAATTAAACCCTCTTTTTTCCATAGTTTATAGTTTTTTTTTGTTTTTAAAAGCCATTTTGATTGTCCAGTGGAAAGTCCAAACTTATTTTATTATCATGCACATGGTGCCACTCTCACTGAGGTCAATGACATTTATCTTTATGTGATTACTGGAAAGAATTTGATTATTCATATAAAGAAGTTTCATTGCATGTAGTAAAATGTGAGGAGCAAGTGATGTCCGAGCATTCTTGAATAGCAAATGTCTATCATAAACTACCATGCATGCTAAGAGGATATTTTTGGTCTAAATTTGCTTTGTGAAGGCCTTATTTTCTATGCATGAACTTGACTTATAGTGTCAAACACCTCATTTTTAAAAGACTCTCAATCTTATATTGAGGCCAAGGAAGTTTGCTCTGATTTTACATCAAATTTAAAGTTGCATTTTTTTTTATAGAGACCGATTAAGAATCTGATTGTAAGAGGTGGTATGCACTACTAAATATAAAACTACAGAAAATGTTCTTGTCCTTCATGAAGAAAAAGCAAAAGATCTGAGGGTAGTATTTAGTGTAAACATCAGGTTTATTGCAATGTGCATTTTGCATCCATAAATCGTAAAAAAACAAAACACCATGGACACAATAAAGCAACAATACCCATGTTACAAAAAGACTGCTGTCAAAAAAACATCTTCCTGTGAAAAGTTACACATGGTCCTGTTGGTTTGTGAGTATTAGGCAAGTCTTTGGTGGTTAGAGTTTATTGAAAACCATGTGGCCTCCTTAAGAGACCATCGTGCCTGTTAGTTGGTTGGCAAAGAAGGTCAACAGGAACACGTTTGACATGTCGGCGGAACATTATCCGCCCCTCGCCTCGTCCGTTTCAGAACATTTCGCTTTACATCAGGTGCTAATTTACAGAACTATAGCAAATGTATACAGATTTTCATTCCCACAAAAAGAGCAATCATTTTTTACACACAGCCCACATAAACAAGTTCATTTTGTTCCGTTTCAAAACACAAACAAGCAACAATCCCCCTAAGCAGCAGGCCCCATCTGCAGAGATACAAGCGATGCTATACAAATCATATGGCAGGAGTCACCGCTGTGGACTAGAGGACCGGTGCTCCGTACAGGTCTGTCTCAAGCATCCTGAACTAACGGAGCTAAGAATGTCCACAGCACTAGGGATCAGGGAACAAGAGTCCCGTGCAGCTTGCGTCAGGTGGGGCTCTCGTGAGACTGTGGGGGCATATCGTAGTGACGTAGTACGTTTCCTTGGCTTGACCGAAGATGCGCTCTTGGCCAGCTCCATCAGGCAAACCCCTCTCCGTCTCTTCGTGAGAGGGACCAAAGGAAAGCAAGGCTGGGCCCCCTTCCAAGCAAGGGGCACGTCAGTCCCGTTGTACAGTAACCTCAGACGTCTACATCACTCTCTCTTTTCCATGTTAGTCCGAAGAGATTGTCGGATAATACAGAACTTGGCCACTGGTACGTCGTAATGCTTTCATTTCAGGTCAGGTTTCATCTGTACAGCCAGCTTCAACTTGAAGTTGCATATCTGGAGGTCCATTTCAGGTGAGAGCTGTGGCTCTGCCCGCCCCATGGCAGAGCCACTTATACAGCAGACCCCGTGCTGATGTACTGGTGCTCGCCGTTCTCGGGGGAGCCCAGCTCCAGAGGCTCTAGGGGGAGGCTGGAGTCTGAGGGCAGACGGGACTGAAACTTCTCCAGCTGCTCTGGGCTCGCCAGGTTCTTCAGCAGGCTGTTCTCACGCTCCAACTGGTTGTTTTTCTCCGCTAGCTCCTTGATCTGCTCCTTCAAGATCTCCACTTCTTCTCTGACTGCATACATTAAGTGATTCTTTACAAGATCCTACGAGAGAAATACAGAGAATTGAGTCTCCACGATCGCACCAAAACATACGCAGACTATTAAATGCATTGCATCTGATCTGTTTGCATGTGGAAGTCATGTTTGAACTCAGAAGAATGAGGCTGAGAACTTGAGCACATGTATTTTACTCCTTGAAGAGCCCAATGAAATAATCGGTCATTTATTCAGGGTTCCTGAATTTGTTATGACAACAACTGTATGTTCTATAATTGTGAGGGAAAGAGAATCCAAGGAGCTGTTTACATAATATCGTTTTTAATTAAAAACTAAAGACTCTGTATGCATTTTGCCCATTCATTTACACGACAACAGCGTTTTTGGGGCCTGAAAACAAACCTAAAGTTTCAAAGTGCGAGTGTTTGAAACTAAATCGCTGTATCGTCTGTAAAGTTAAACGCGAATTTGTGAAAACGGTGACGCCATGAACATGCATATTACATGTTTATTGTCTATAGGAGCATAGCATTTCTTTGTAATGACATCGCCAACTACTGGCCAAGTATGAATACAGAATTTTTTTGTCTTTTTAGCTGATCAGTCTGAACAGGATTGTTTTGACAATGTTGTCGTCTGTGCGTGAAAAACGCTAATTAAAAACTTTACAGTTCTTTTTAGTACATAGTGTAAATGAAGAGTTCAAATGCAAAAGCCTCTAAGTGCCATTTGAAATGTTCTTCTTTAATGATGATTTTTATTAAACTTGTATATTTAAGTTCAGTAATTTCACTTAAATAACAATTAATAGGTAATTATCATTGCCATTTAAGTGAAATCACTGAACTTAAATACACAAGCTTGATAAAAATGATCATTCTAGAAGAAAATTTCAAATGGCACTTAGAGGCTTTTGCATCTGAACTCTTCAAATGTACCCTAAGAATAATTGCATGTTTCCCATTTGTATTTTTTTATTGCAATTCAAATATTTGCAACTATTGTGAGCATGATTTATATACTGCAAGACAGTAATTGTTATACATGAATACCAGATCATTTAAAGATAATTTGTACTAGATATGGTAGTTAAAGCCATGCATTTGTTTGTATCGTTAAATAGTACTAATATGAGTTTAATACCCTTTAAAGAACAACAACAAAAAATGGGTTGCATATATGACTAGGGGGATTAAATGGATTAAAACAAACTTTTACTATCAGGTAATTGTGATGTTGGGAATTTAAGAATAATTATCTAAGAATGATCTATTATGCTTAATCCACAATCAGGTTAATTATTCAAATGTGGCTCTGGGTTAACAAACACAAATATTGTGAGAATATACTATAATGAGCAATCTTAATACATTAGAACATAAATTACAAAACATTAATACATAAGACTTTTCAGATTATTTGTGCCAAACATGCTTTTTTTCATTTATAATTGATAGTAATGTTTAATAGATAAATTAGTAAATAGTAAATTTTTCACTTTTGGTTACAGGGGGGATTAAATGGGTTAAACAATAACTTGTTTTATATAAAATGGTGCATGTGGTGTTGTACAACAACCTTTGACTTTTACTGCAAACAAATGCATATGCAATGCACTATGCAGCAGCTCCAGAGCGTGCCACAGCTCTGGTTACAGCCTACACAGAAACTAGATACTTTCCACTGCAAGTCTACAAACATGTTCATAGTGTTAAAAGAATAACTTGGATCTTACCATCGCTTGTTCGATCTTGTTGTCAATTGCCACAACGCTTGCGCCAGAGGCACTGCAAAAGACAAAGACACAAAGTATTAAAACGCAGTTCAGACACTGCAATAACAAGCTCTTAGTGCGTGACATCTGTGTCGATGCCGCAAAACACCAAACTAAGATGCATGTCCGACTGTAATTTCTGGCGACTGTCAAAAGCATCTAATAATCTCGTGAAATCGGCCTACCTGTTGTCTAGTTTGACCGAGACTACATCCCCGCCGAGGAAGGATGAGAAGAATGAGATGGAGAAATTGTGCAGCTGATAGACTGCGAGCTCCATTGGCGTTTTAAACATCTCCGTGCTCATGTTGAGTACAAGACCCGTCTGAATAATACTTCTCGCCACGTTTGCGACTTGCTTGAACACGATTTTAAGATCCTGGTTGTTTGTGTTGCGTTGCTCTGTTGCAATACGCGCAGATAAAAGCGGGCGCTATGAGTAGACTAGGAGCGGTTTCAGAGAAACACTGTCGGCTCGGCAAGTGATGCTATTTCTGCTGCAGCGGGCTTATATACTCCGCTCGGTGACGTCGTATGACGCCCGAATGTATTATTCAAATGAGGCTTGTGGCATAGATTTTCGTTTTGCCCTCTCACTGAACTCGCTCAAAGAACACACAGCATGCAGCAGCAGCAAACGCGGGACAAACCTCCAAAACACATTAACACAAACAAGACACGCCGTTAACAAGCGCCCTTTTTGATATTTGATACTATGTTTATACGTCGTTATTACATGCCCAGTGAAATATATTATATAGCTGCCCTATGACAAAATAGGTGAATGCACTTGTCTTATCCATGTTAAGGTTTCACTTTAACGAACCACGCGTTCCTATAAAGCTCAGTAATTTGTTACAAGGTGAAAATCAGTAGCCTAATTGAGCAGTTTTATTATTGGCAGAATTGTCTTTTTTTATTACTGTCTTTCAATCGATGCCTCCAGGTCAAGTTTACAGTTTTGCAGTCGACTGCTCAGAGATAATGAGAACTGGATGGGAAAGATTTTCTCCACATTGTCTGACTTCAGCCTTTAGTGCCTCTAGTGGTCAAACTGTGTATAACAGTCATAAGGCTCAACCAAGCTAGAATCAAAGTAACACTTTGATATCATAAGCTAATAGACACTTTGATATCAGTAAGCTAATATTTGAACATTTTTCTGATTTAGAAACACATTGTTGCACTGTCCATCAGCTTTCTTTTTAACATTAAAACAGTTGAGTCATAATAAATGAATACAACAGTAAAGTCCTCAGCAAGTACAATTTGAACGCATTTTACATTGCAGTTATAACATAGTGAAAGAAACCACACCAAAAAATAGACAAAAATATAAGAAACCAAAATAAACGTTTAATCCTTCTAAAAATGCCTACCTGGTGTAGACTCAAATTATAACTATGTAATAACATAAACTATAACAAAATCAAACTTCAATTTTGTCCAACTTATAAACATGCACGGCTCACAAACAGACACTGTTATTATTCTCATAATATCTTTCTTGTGAATTGATTTTTTTTTTGTTGGAAATCATTTGATGGGTCTTGCAAAGTTATTAAAATGAATTTATTACAGTATGTCACAAAACGTTGTTTTTTTGTTGTTGTTATTTTGGAGGGGGGGGGTTGTTACATTATTGACTCATTCACAACATTTTACAGTCTATCATATATATTTTATGAGTGGAGCAAGAATTTGTTTGGATCAGTGTAGCCCTTTAAAAGGGGACGGCTCGAAGTTGATCCTCATAATGAGACTCTACAGAAAAGCACAAATTAGTCACCGTGCTGTCACTTTCCATTTCATGCAGAGTTAGTAAAGCTGACAGATTAGATTTCAGAGGAATGCTCCAGAAAGAGTTAACCTAACTCCTGGTGAGCTGTAGTCAGGATAACTGACAAGACGTTTGCACAGTCTGTACAGTATGCAATGATAATCCTCCCTCAGACGAAGAGGGAAAGACCATGAAGTGGCTACTTTTGAAGAGTTATGCCTGAGAGTCTGCAGGCAATCAAGTGTCACAGAACCTCCCGGTTATAAAGTACTACTAATAGTGTGTTAATCGTCATTATTTTAGTCAGTTAGACTCTCTAGCAAGAGAAAGTTAAATTACATTCCAATGAAACTGAGACTAATAAATTTGCAAAAAAGAAAAAAAAAAGTTCAGTTGAACTTTTGAATAAATTGAATAAATGTCAACTTTCACATTGTTTTGATGCAGCAATATGAGCAAACAGATGCTTCATTCAGTTGCCACAAAAAAAAAAAAAAAAATCTCGCACATCACAGTAAACACAGATGTGCCATGGTACAGTGTGTCTCCGTCTGTCACCATGGCCAGGGTGGAGACATCCCAGACACTCTCCGCTAAACAAATCCTTCACACTGCTACTACAAAATTAAAACAAGGTTGGAAACTTTAAGACTGGTCTCAGTGTGTATATATTATGTCTAATACATTTACACTGAGTGGCACTAATTATTTACACTTTCAACAGGACTTACTTAAATAAAAAACACACAAAAAAAGTCTTAGAGTTCTCAAGACACACCTAACCAAACTTGGTTAACTTAGTAATCATCTACTTAAGAACACACGAAAGAATGTGTGGAATGACATATTTTCACATTTGCATTCTGTAAATAGTTGAGGCTTATTATTTCAAAAATTGTAATCTAGTTTCTAGGAGGACAGCTAGAGAGAAACCCTTACCATAGTGAAGAATAAAATATGTAAATAGCATCATCAGTCTAAACTCTTGATTTAGACGAATTACTACGAATTGAAAAAAAAAAAAAACAAGTTATGCAATCCATCTGTAAGTACTTAGTAACATGATCCACGATGAACCCGGTAATGCACTTCGCTGACTGTCTGTATCGTAATGATTTTCACACCTTGCAGAGCAAGACCTACAGTATTAGCCAGTTTGAGTGGTTAGACCAGACTAACTTTCCTTGCTCACATTCACGCCTATCAATTAATCCATCAGCTGTCAGTTGTTATGATACACTCATTCTTACACTTACCGTCTGTCCCTCTTCTTAAACAGACTAGGTGAGTAGATAGGTGGCAAACTCATGGCTGTTGCTCTGCGGACTGTCACTATATGAACAAGTCTCTAAGGATGCACCCCAAGATACGACCTTGTGAGTCGAGCAGCGTGAATGGTGTGGATGTCCCATTCTCTGTTAGATGGGAGGGAGGTGGACATACAGAGATGTTGTGTAGTTTTTCTCTGTTCACTCCCTGTCTGTTTTTTGTTTTTTGCTTTTTTCTGTTTTTTTTTTTTGTTTTTTTCGGAAGTTTGATTTGCGACTCTCAGAATATTCTGAGTATGATAAATGATTAACGCTATACAAATGGAGTATCACTGGCCCTTTTGACACCTGGTTTTTGCAGGTAGACGCCCATGTGGTCGAATGTGTTCGAAGAGCAACAAAAGACCGCCTGTTCTCCGCCTATGCTGACTGAATGTCAGGGGACCTTTAAATTGAAAAATATGAAAAAGTCCATACATTTCCCCACCCATACACCTTCCCCTCGAAAAAATGACGACATAAGTGGGTGAAGGTGGACAAAAGTCATGGATTAAAGTACCAGGTGTAAACGTGTATTTGTTTTCCTCGTCCGATTGTGAAACGCAGCTGCATACGGGGCAGTTGTTGCTATCTGGAATTTCCGAACACATCCATCTCTGACTCTGCAAAAACAGTATAAATTTTCATCTACAATTTTCCATAACTGTTTATCGAAGAAGTTTGTTCAGCTTAAGTTCCCTTTTGTAGGATAAGAAAAGACGTGCTTCAACTTTTATGTATAGACCATGCTCATTTCTCAGAAAACAGATTTGTTTTGTCTGACTGTCTGAAAGGACTTATGCGTGACTGCAAAAAAAGAAAAAAAAGAAAAGCATATTATGTAGCATGCTATATAATTGGGTGTTTGTTTGCCCACATAAATCATGTCGGTACAGGAGATGCGCATACAATGTTTATTTTCATTGCTTTAATCTATTAGATACATTAAACTGTTTAATTGAGCTGAGTCAAAAACGCATTAATATGTCATACCGACGTAATTCAATTCAGCCTGAAAAGGCCTGAAGGTGTTTGTCTGTTGGCGTCTATAATGTAATTTATTTCCATGTTCCAAAAGTAAAACTTTCCTTTTGAACAACGTGTGCGAATTTGCTCTGCTTGTTTTTCCCATGTCAGGATGGCTTCCCAATGTATTGTGCTTTCACGGAAGCCCTTGACTTGACCTACTTGAGTGTTAATTCGTGAGTGCCAGGTCCTGTCCTGAACATTAATAAGATGGCAGTTTATGCCAGAAAGATACAAAACAGAACGATTCATAGAACTTTACATTTGTAAGTGTGAGAAAGTTGAATTTTCAGCATCATTACTCCAGTCACAAGATCCTTAAAAAATAATATCATGGCAAAGTTGAAACAGTGGTTATTATTTTGTGATTTATTTTATTTTTAGGATTATTTGATTAATACTAACCCCAAATGTATTTAACTGTAGTGCTCAATAATGCCTGTTCCAACTGACACGATGAAATGAGGTGGAAAACAGATTATGTCACCCATGCAGCAACTTGCGTGCAGTGGCTGACTGAGCAATTATGATTGCTCAGACTGTCAATGGCATTATTATCTTAATCTTAGTGCATGAAGGAGCTGCTTATGTAAGACTTTTTTTTTCTTTTTCTTTCTTTCTTTCTTTTTTTTTACAGTTATAGAACCGCCTCGAATCACACAGCAAGTATTAGCAGATGTTTACCTTTACAGCCCAGGTGTGTCACAGATCCGACCCTCTTTGTTGCTTTGTTATCTGTCTAGACAAGACTTTAATTAACTTCTCTATTAGCCAGTTTCCAGTGGGCTTCATGGGAATTCTGCACAGCCTCCACTAAAGACCCAATTTGTTCATGACAGAGAGCACAGGTCCCCTGTAATACATTGGCTAAGCCACTTGAGGCTGTTGTGGACATTCAAG